ATTATAAATATAGATCTAAATATTCGAAAATACTAACTAATTTGTGTTTTCCAGGTGGTTGTTTCTAGCGTTCTCATACGAACTTCTATCGTTGTCTTCATCCTCCTGTCTTCTGCAGTCGGCCCATGTAAGTAAATACACCCACTTCTCCTGCATGCTTGTTGCTTGTACGCCTGCAATTAGGCACGAATCGGCTTCGTATGTGAGTGGATGTTTTCAGAATGGTCCTCGCCACCTGGATGTCCAGCTGCTCTCACTTTCTTTGCTGCAGCAATAATGCAGTTACGTTTTGTCCCCCTCCCCCTTTTCCTTGCAACTCCCTTTTCCTTGTCCCGCCTCTCGTCCAGTAAGCGGAAGCAAAGTTAAGTGGATCAGTCTCTGACGACAGCGTGGCGAGTGTATTTAGGAAACATGTGTTGCATTCCAGCTCTGCGGACAACGCATGATTTTCGCGTAAGCAACGGCAGTGCGCCAATATGAGCTCTCTGTTGCGCGTGTTTTGTTTTGTGTACAGATTTCGTTATCTTATTTACAACTTTTCGGGGATATGGAGCTATTGAGCCGAACTATCTCATTTGACTACCGTCGCTGCTGCGGCGGTGCCTTTTGTGATAAAGTAATTACTGGCTATTGCTCTTATCTTTCTGAGTGAGCTAAATTTAGAAGTCATACGCACGGCGACAGTCGTTTCTTCTTTTTAGTGTTTGCATCTTGTCGAATTGTTTGGGTGTTCGTAGGAGGCATTTCTTTATATGTTTTGTCGCAGAGTACTTTCTTTTGGTTGCTGGATCTCATGCACGGGCTCCTTGAACCTGCTGGGGCGCGTCACGCCTCTTTTTTTACGGCGGCGCCTTGTCTCCAAAACTTATTCACGATTTCCTACCCGTAATTGGCAAGGCGGTGGTCCCGCTGGTGAAACGGCTTCCGGCCGATATCACTTGCATGCACTGCGGGGCGAGAGAGAGAGAGAGAACGGGGTGGCGAGGGAGGGGGAGAAACCCGCGTGGTCCTTATTTTTGCCTCCGTTTAATAATCCACTTTGCGGAAGTGGGCGCAGCTTCCTTTGGGACAGGATCCTTGCTTGGTCCCACGGCGGCTTTCTGGGGGCTGCCACGCCATGCGTGTCATTTTCATTCCCGAATCATTTGTTTGCGTGAACGCCAAGTGATTGGGACGAGCGCTACGGCCAGCCTTGTGGCGTGGCGGGCGCAGGCCTCACAGTATAGGAGGCCCGTGAGAAGGTGGCGAAGGCTGGCGAGAGGTATTTCCCGCTCCAGGACTTCCCCACGACGGCAGGCGCGCGCGCGCGCGCCTCGCCGCTGCGCCGTCTGTGGCGACACTCCTGCGGCTTCTTCGTTTTCCTCGTTAGACAGACGGACGGGGAAATGGTCCGCGTGAACACTGACCGAGTGAGCGGAGCGACCGCGCGACGTGCCGCAACACATGGCGTCCGACCCTTCCTCCAAGTGAAGTAAGCGATGATATGTATGCGTTTTGCAACCCCGGTACTTATTCTGCAGTATTGAACGATGAAATACTTTCAGGAAGGATCATGATGACAACTTTGATCGTGCGGAGGTTTTATAATTTATACATTTCATTGAAGGCGGTATATTTTTTCATATTCGTTGTAGTCTTTTGTTAAACTACCAAACAGTCGTGATAAGAAACTTATGAAACTTCGCATACATCTTGAAATCGTCGTCTGTCGATCAGATCAAAAATATGTACAAGTCTTTCATAATTAGCCTTTGCACGCAGCCGTTTATTTTTTCACACAGCAGGAGGCTGGCTGATTTTACACGTGTAAGATCCTCCGTGAGGAAGAAAGTTTATCAGTATCGTTCAATATGGTGT